TCGTAAAATGTAAATGAGACGTCGATGTAGATACAAAATTTTGTGTGAAGGGATTTAAAGTTTCAGCAAAGCCAAAATTAGCATCATCTTTACCTTGACAAGCTCATTTTCGTATAAAATTTGTTGATTTAGGATTATATTGATCATAAAAAACCTACAGTCAGAAAAGTAAGTCTTAATATATACTTTAAAATAGGAGTTTAAAGAGTGCACATTTGATCAAAATTATAATTATAGATTTTATTATTTTATATAATAACATTTCATCATTAGATAATGCTTTAATAATTTTCTATTTCTTTATCAATTAATATAAATAATTAAAATAATTTTAAATAATAATTTACTTCTCTCTATCATCAGTAAATTTTTTTTTTTATTTCTATTTGATATTTTCCTCTTTCGGTAGTATAATAGACGAATAGAAATGGAAGGAGCCGAGCCCATTATAGGACAGTGGAAATAGAGAGATGCTCACTTAAGTTTGTAGCCTTACTGGACTTATCACATTTCTTAATAGTGTGGACTTTTTAATAAATAAGAATATATTCGACAGCCTCCAAATCTTTTTTACGCTTTAGGTGACGTCAAACTGGTAGGAAATGCCAATAGTATTTAGTATAAAATAAATACAAATAATAATTTTAAGGGAAAGGAATTCATACATTAAATTAATGAAAAAGCAGGGAAAATTCTAACAGAACAATATAAAGAATTCAAAACTTTTCTCACAAGACTAGATAAATCTTATATATCTTGAATTGTAAATATCCTTTATTAAAAAATAAACCAGTCGATAGAACATTGGAATGAATGAATGATTTAAAAACATCCTTTTCCTTTCATGATTGATTCATTAATTCTTACTGCTGAAGACACTTAGATTATCAAGAGTTTACAAGGTATTAGAAGGAAAGTATTGTTAACCAAACAAAATTTTTGACGTCAGAGAAAGTTATCATTATGAAAATTCAATTATTGAAATAATCGCAGTCAAAATTTTAATTCAATTTATATATTTAGGACGCATCACATTATTCAAATATGAATTGCAATATAAAACCCATTCGAACTTATAAAAATAATTAAATTTTTAACTGTACCGGTTCTCGATGCGTCTCTATTGCATATTCCCATGCGATGGAAAAATAAAAGTAAGTATTTATTCCAAAAGGAACACATTGACCATAGAAAAAATATGTGAAAAAATATTTATAATCTACTAAAATTTGGAAAAATCCGAGTAGGTCTGTCAGAAAATCAGTATGACTTTAATCAAGTATCAATCACTATCACTACTGTAAGAATGAGATGATTAGGAGACGATAAAATGTGTGCAGTGGTTAGATTAGATGAAAAACATGTACTCAACTTAGCAAGTTGAGATTATATAGTTAATTTCTTGTAGACTTACAAGGAACTGTTCATTTGCTAAAAAATATTAGAAGCTATTTCTCAGAAAATACGTTAATATATGACACCTAAGCTGGAATCTTAGGGATACAAAAATCAAAAAGAGTGGCAATAGTTAGTTGCACTGTAGAAGTTGTATTAAAAACCAAATCACATGTTTCAGTGAAATGCAGTGAAACAATTCAAAACGTAGAGAATTGGCTATTGAAACGCAATCTTCTATTAGTAGTACTGGTAAGTAGTCGAAAAAAAACTTGAAAATCTTGACATCTGAATTGGCAGTGTCCTCATGACTTTCAGTCTTCATATTAAATACTTTAGTGTGACCAAAACAAAACAACGGAAATTCTTGGTTGCTTGAAAGAACCAAGAATTTCTTGGTTCCCTTAATTAATTATAATTAAGGCTTACTTGAAAGAATTTACAGGAACTCATAGACTAATGTGTCTGAGAGTGTGTGTTATGAATTTTAAACTGTTTCGAATGATGCAACTGACATAGGTTCTAGAAGAAAGCTAAAGCTACTAATTGGCAAAAGAAACCAAACTCATTAGAAACAACATAAGTGCTTCGAGAAAATCAGCTGAGTATAGATACATCTGGAAAAGACTGATAGACCCACAAAATTGAGTTCAAATGAGTTCACTTTTCCGAATGAATTAGGTAATTCTGGTTAAAATAACAGAACAATTGTGACCACAACATGGTTCAAAGCAAACGATATCGATATCAACCAAATCTAGCGACAGCACGCAAACAGTGAATTAAATTCTGTCATAACGAGAACTGAGAAGAAGATGATTAGAAAGGAGTCTCCCAGTGGGCTTAGTAGAATATGAAGTCATATGTACTTATTTATATATATTAAATCGTTGTTGTAATGAATAGTAAATTAATTAGCTCATTTAATCAAAATCCGAACTATTTGAACAAAATTTTTTTGATATCAAGAAACTAAAAATTGTTTAATGATTTCGGCTTTAAAATTTTATATCATTATTTCCATTTATATTTTAAAATCGTCAAATCTATAGTGTTAGGAATAGGACTCTTTCATAAAGTCCTATGCTTTTGTAAAGTTGAAGATTCTGAAAATTGATAAAAATAATAGAAGATTTATAATAAAAATTGAAGGAGGTAACACCCTTAAGTTAATAGAATGAAAATATTGTAATAGAAATTTGTATTTTGAAATTTAAATTGTATCCAGTGTCGTCGCCAGAGACACTGGCAGTCGAAGGAAAATAACTGTTGTATTTGCAATTAACTGTTGCAATATAGTCGATTGACTGAATCCGTCAAATATTTTTCGTGGTTATTGTCTTCAACTACTTCTGCAGTAAAAAAATCACATTAACGCATGTCAGATGAGTACGACCGATTGTTATTTCAGAATCGTTATTTAGTTTACCCATATAGCAATGTAATCATTTTAACAAAGTAATTTATATTGTGTTATAACGCGTTTAAGTTTTTTTAATATGTCTACCTTGAAATTTAACATAGAACAGAATATATGCTTCACAACACAGCAAGTAAACTGCACACTAGCCTAACTGTACAAGAACCCCAGTCTATACACTAACATAAGCCAATTTTGTCGATTTGTATTGAAAATTAATATTAGTAATAAGTCATTAACTTCTTCAGCTAATTTTATTTAATCAATAAAACTACAGAAACATAATTTATCTGCGTCTGATTCTTATTTTTTCAAACTAACTTATTAAGATTTTTCATACTCATTTTTGTTCCAGATACATCCCGACGTGTTTTGCCAATCAATTCTTCAGATTGTATTATGTATTGTGCCTGATCGTGTTTTGCCGAATCATAGCTAAGAGCCTTCAGGATAGCTGGGGCATCCAATTTTGTTTTAGAGGCATTTTTAATTGCTGCTTTCATCAAATTTTTTATGAAATTAATTAACAGATCATTCAACTGATTAACACTTTCCGTGCTATATTCTTTCACACCCATTCCAACCATTAATTGCTTTATTTCGGTGCAAAAGTTTGGGTTACGGGCAACTCCAGTTGCAAGCGATTTTTTTTTTTAATTATTTTTTTCTAAAAGTATATATTTAGCAATACTTTTTTAATAATATATTTTTTATTCACTTACGCTCATTTCTCAAACTTTGCTTGTTGTACCTATTTTGACAAATTTTAACTAAAATCGTATTATTTAGGACTAGATGTAGCAACCTTATTGGAGAGTGTGGAGAATTTGATCTCATCTGTGTGAAATTATTATACGTATATTTTCCAGAATTCATAAAACAGAAAATTTTGTTCTGTGTTTTATTAGCAATTTTTGTGCAATTGCTAGTAAAATATTATTTTTCAATTTTATTCAATTGCGACTGGGTAATAAAAAAACAATTAATTAGGAAAATTTTACAACGAAGACTTAAAATAGTCGATATCAGCCTATATCTATAATATTATAATATAATGATTAATATGTAATGTAATTGATTAAACCAGACGGTTTGGTTATTGTAATCCGTCGTGCGAGGTCTTTTGTTTAATGAAGTGATTAAGCTTCTGTGTCGCATTAAACTTTAAGCCCTTTTTTATGTGCATCAACATAAAGCGTGATTATTTTAGCAAGCGTCGGAACCCCCAAGTCATTCAAAATATTAATGACTTACGAAGATTGCTTATTAAAATTGAAATTCATACTAACATGTAAGTCTATAGGAGTATTCAATCTATTTTGCAAATTCATTGCAAAGTGCAAAAAATGCACAGATTGTGTGAGCTTGCAATGCACAACAACAAAATATACTCACAAAGTTTTGTGCAATTGCTACCAATCTTGCTATACCTAAATCCATGCATATATGATCGCAACAAAACGAAAAATGAAAAAACAGCTGTTTTGACATCAGTTGTTTCTCATGTGGATGTGGTATGCTGCAAAAACAGCTGTTTCATTTTGCTGTTACAATTCTGTGCCAGAGGAATTCTCGCATTCTTACACTTCGTGTACCTTGCAATGACTGTGCAAGACAGAGTGAATATAATAATATAATAAATCATAGCCAAATCATGTTTTACTACATAATGTTATCGAAATTAATATGCTTTCCTAACATTTAAAGTCTGAATTAGTTGTGACGTTAGTAATCAGCTGATTCGTTCAACTTAATCGCCTTTGATAATAACATATTTATGAAAGAAAGCTAATTAGCAAAAATTTTCGTCTTATAGATGTTATACTTTCAAGCGTTTCGGAAAACT